TTTTCATGCTCTGTATTAATACTATTAATTTAAATTGCCCCACAACAGTGACACAAGTAAATCCTCCATTCTATGAAAATTTTTCATTGATTACCACTCACTGTTCCCTTATCACTTTTTCAAGCTCCCAATACTTCAAGAATCTGTGATTTCAAGTTTAGATATTCCTTTTCCTGACATAAGTTAAATTAATATCTGAAACAGAAAAGTCCAAGCCAAGTATAACGATCTAATTATCGAGGTTGACCATCATCAATCAAACCAGGTCATCTGACTCCTCAGAGATCAGACACAAAGAAATTATTTACAGAACTTATTTTTATAACAGAAAAGAGGAATTCAAAATTACAGCTGTTTTAGGAAGCTTGTTTTGAACATAATTCAATTAGACAAAGCAGGTCATCTCACTAGTTAACTTCTCCTGGGCTTTCTTAACCCAAACTCATTGACAGCATTTGGAGTGTGGGCGTGTTGGAGGAATAACCAGGGTGGGACCACTATTAAATCTGATATTCTGCTGGATTAGGGCCTGCGTCTACCAACTTGTCTAAGTGAGATTGCCTTAGAAATCTCGCACCTGTAGCTGTAACATTCTTCAATTAAAAGCATTACTTTTAAAGGGGCCTACAGAACTGGGAAAGAGGAATGTAACCTTTAGTTCAAAAAAGAGGGGAATTTATGCACTAAGACTGGAAAGAAGAATATAGAATCAGTAAACTAGGAGTCAAACCCCACCCCCCCTTCTCCAGCTGCCAGCCTGTATAATTATTTTATTCCTACCAAGATATATGTCTTACTCCAAATTATCTGCTATTAAATGATAAAGTCTTGTCTACCTATTCACTAAATCTATAGGTAACCTAGACTTAAGAGAATATCTATGTTAGCTTGGCTTAGCAGTTAGGGCTAACTTTTCCTAAAGAAGAGAACTTAATCCTAAAATAAAAATAAAAAATAAATCCAAGTAATCAGTACTAACTGATTTAAAAATTATTCCTTTTCACATATAGCACACTCCTAAGCCTTCATAGATAGCCTTTTTGAAAAGGAAATTTTAATGTCAACATCCTTTGACATCTTGTCATCTGACCTGCTGTTGAAGTCCCTTTCCATCTGAAATAGCAACATATGGATCACCCCTTCGCTAATTGGCTCTAGATAGCACTTTAGATTAATCCATCTTGGACATTTTGACATTCACACTGCCCTATGTGTATAGCCTCCTCTCCAGTCTAAAACCTCATACCATACACTCTTGCTTTCTACCTCTTGTTCTAGGAACAGTAATTAAATGAACAATTGTCTGTTTGATGACTCCACTCACCATTCTTGTGATTTCCAAGACCAAAAAAAAAAAAAGACTCCCTTCCCTACTCTAATCTTGTTTGTGTATTGTTTTCCTGTACTATAATTTAAGCTCTTGAGAGCATTGGCTGTCCCACTTATGTCTCTGTAACCTCAGTGCCCAGTTCAGGACCAAGGATCTAGTAGGCACTGAATAAATGTATTCATCCATCCATCCATTCATTTATCTCATGTTTCATTGTCTCCCACTCTAAAATGTGGCCTTGTTTAAAGCAATCTTATCAATAGGGGGAAGCAAGAATCCAATCCAATTCAATATATGTTTATTAGGAGCTGCTATATATCATTAAGCGGCAGTGTGGCATATTGTATCAGCTGCGTAACCCTGTGAAAGCTATTTAACCTCTCGGAGCCCTTGTTTCCATGTCTGAAAAATAGGAATAATTAAGTAAGTTGTGGCACTCTATATATAACATGTGACACTTGGAACACAGCCATAGTGCAAGCAATCCCGATCAGTTCATATGCTCCTTCCTTAAATTCACAAAAAGCAATGTGTCACTGTATTAATTGTCTAGCAAGAGTATTTGATATAAATGAATGAATGAGTGAACGAAAAGCCATTTATTTAGCTCTTACTATGTTCACAGCACTGTGCTGAGTGCTTTGGATACAAGTAGAAAGTCGAGAGTTCCAACTCTCAAATTCACTTATATAGGGAGAGATAGAATATAAATGAATTTTTAGCTGCAAATCTCATGGAAATATGTTGTGGTCCTTAAAGTGCAGTGGCAAAACGTATGGTAATGAATCGTTTTAACATAATTTCAATTGATAAAGCCATATCTACTTCTGATATTAAATTATTTAATAGTGCCAAGGTGCCATCTTTGGAGGCCACAACTTTCGTTTCCAGTTCTTTAATAGCTGAGGAGAAAACAGCAGAAGTACTTGCAGAGGAAGTTGCCAGGTCTTATTTTAACAAGATTTATTTTTTGGATGATAGAACTGGTGGCCTGGGGATGGGGGTGGGGCATTGCTATTTCAGAGGCTTTTGGGCTTAGCTGTCCATCAGCATTAGTTCATAGTTCATTAGTAGTTGGTGCTAATGGTGGCAAGAATGACAGTTCTATTTTCCATGAGGTTTCCTTTTACTGAAGATGGATGTTGAACTGGGCTAGAAATAGGACTGATGGCCTAAGAGATAATACAATTTCAGGAATGCTTAGATTTGGGGTCCTAGGCTAGGATTAGACAGTGGTCAAGGTGGTAGAGGTGATTTGTCTCAATGGGCACATATCACATCTTGTTTTTCGTGCAGTATACCTTGCTGCTTCAGTTAGGCTGACTTATTTGCTTCCTTCTGGTAGCTGGTTGGCTGATGGCAGGAGTGGTTGTAAGGTATGGTTGGCCTCTTCTTTAATGTTTGTTCCCCAGAATGATGGCTACAAAGTTTGGGCTTCAGGGGCCAGGGTCTTGTGGGACACTGCTATTTCCATGGCTCATGGCCATATGCGCCTATTGGTAGAAGTTGATAATTTTTGTTATGTCGAACCACCAGGCCAATAGCTACATCAGTTCCTATCTAGTTCATTCAAGATAAAGCTGGCTAAATATTGCAGTATCCCCATTGGCAACTAGAGGACATATAGCCACAAAATAGCTAGATTATTCTGCTCCAACCCCACTCTACTGTCTACCTAGCCACAATTTTAGCAGCAACTCTGAGCAAATAAACTCATTCTGAACAGGAGATAATAAAAAATATTACCAAACTACAAAAAAGGATATTGATGAATCTGGAGACTTCCCTTTATGTTCAGAATCTGAATCAACACCCCCGCCATTCACAGGATATAGGCACTCAACATATTATGCTCCCATAATGTATCGCACATACTAAAAATGAAAGAGAAAATGGGAAACATTCCCTCATGGAGTCCACTACCTCTAAATATCTAAAAAGCTCCTTCAGTGCTTACTTTCCTTGCTCTTTGGATACGACCAGGGACTTTCCAAACCCCACTAATCTATAAATCACAGAAACAAAACGATGTGAAAGACCTATGTGTCTAGGATGCCAGCTCTGAACCACAGATCACAAGTTTTAAGAAGTGTGGGAGTTGAGATCTAATAGTGATCTTTAGAGCTGCTCTCATAATTATCACTCTGGATCCACCAATAATAATAATAATAATAATAATAATAATAATAATAATAATAATTCATGATAACAGATACTTGGGACCTTCTTCACTCCTTACATTCCATTATGAAGTGTCTGGTTGTCTCTGCTACAAAGTCTGATTTACTCCGCAATGGAAGACTTGTCTCCTCCTCCTCCAGCTTCAGACACCAAAGACAAAGTTTTTGGCCTTGTCAGTTTATGGTCACCGAAACTAAGATTTCCCTAATGCCCAGAATCAGTTTCCATGTACCATTATGGCAAATAGGAAGCTTCACTCCAATCCAGGCAATTGTCTATTCCTTATTTCCAGGGACAACTAGGAAATCTCTGTGTCAAGGACAACTGAAAGAAATAGGGAATTCAAGACTTGAGACCTCACACACAGTCCCTATCTTTTCCTTATATTCTAGCAGGGATAGATGCCTGTTGTGAGTGCCAGCTTTCCTCACCCAGTGAAGGAAAGAGGGCATAGTGGTCATCAGATATTCTCTACTAAGCAAAAAAAAAAGCTATACATACATATATATATATATATATATATATATATATATATATATATGTATGTATGTATGTATACACAATGACTACAACAATGAAAATGAGAACAAAATTAATAATCAAAACAAATATAACAAAATTAGAAAGAGCAGTCACCAAAAAAAGACAAGAGAAGACACATCCCTCTCTTCCTTTGCAGAAATGAAAGGTTGACAGACTAGAACATCACACACATTTTCAAGCATGTTTCTTGATGTATTGATTAGTTTTTCTGCTTTTTTTTCTCCTTGAAAAAAATATTTCTTATATGGGATGGAAAGGGGCAAAGGAGAAATATAAAAAGAAATTTAAATGACATAAACATTTTTTAAAAAATGTTCTTCCACCCTCTGTCTTTCTAAATTATCATCCTGGATCCAGCAAATAATCATAATAATTCATATAGAAAAAATCAATTTGTAGGAGTAGGTCATATAATAACATAGGCTTGTATCAAATACATCAATGTATGCAAAGCACTTTACAAACCACAAACTACTATGTAAATGTGAGTTATTATTAAAATTAAGTCATGAAACCATGTGAGTATTAAAGCAGCTATATTCAGGACATTACTTCTTACTGGGTGAAATCTACAACAAGGAAATAGCCAATATTTGACCAGCCACCTGGCGTTTTTACCAAAGTAATTCAGAGCTTCTTACTAGTGTGCATTTAAAAAAAATTCTTTGCTTATTTTCCTTTTTAGCTTTGATTTTGGCGGTCCTAGCCAGAACTTATATATCTATGTGAAAGATGCTTTCTGCAAGCAAGCTATAAAAATGAGCATATTTCTTTTCAGCACGCTGCTGATTCTTAGGTTTTGTTTAAATTTTGATTTTTAAAAAAATCAGATATTGACTTGCAGTTAGGATTCACAGGTTGAGAAGACATGGGTAGGTTATCATTAGTTCTGACAGAAAGATATTGACATTGATGACATCGATCAAAATATGATGTATCATCTGTTTTACAGGAAAAGATCCTTGGCTGACTCATGTGTTTTTTCACAGTCTCCTTAATCTCTTTATTCCTCAGGCTATAGATAATGGGGTTGAAAAATGGGGACAAAACAGTGAATGCCAGAGCAATTACTGTGTCCCAGAACAAGGAATATGTGGCTGAGAAACGTAGGTACATGAGTGCTACACTGCCAAAGAACAGTACAAAGACATGAGATGGGAAGCACAGGTGGAGAAGGCTTTTCTACGACCCTCAGCTGAACGGATGCGCAAGATCACAGCCACAATGCCAGCATAAGAGAGGAGGATGAGGAGCACAGCTGTGACAATCTGCAGCATGAATCACATCAACCACCTGGATCATGACAATGGCCCGGGTGTCTGTGCAGGCCAGGCGGAGAAGTGGGAGGAAATCACAGAAGACATGCTCCAGGTGATTAGAGCCACAGAACGGCAGTGTGGAGATCCACACAACCTCAGGCAGGGGTGTGATGAAGCCACAGACACAGCAGACCAGGGTCAATTGGACACATAGTCTGGGAGTCATGATGGTTGGATAATGAAGGGGTCTGCAAATAGCCAAATAGCGATCAAAGGCCATAACTGTCAAAAGGCACACTTCACTTATGCCTGTGGAATGGAAAAAATACAACTGCACCATACAACCATTTAAGGAAATGCTCTTTTTCTCACTGAGCAGGTTGGAAAGCATGAGTGGGATAGTGGATGTCGTATACCAAAGCTCCAGGAAAGAGAGGGAACTGATAAAGAAATACATGGGGGTGTGGAGGTGGGCATCTATCTGGACCACTATGACAATGACCAAGTTTCCAACAATGATGAAGGCATAAATGAAGAGCAATGGGACAAAACAGATGACAGCATCTCCCCAGTTGTGGGGGAAAGCAGAAAAGATGAATTCCTGAGCAGTGGTCCAATTTCTGCTCTCCACATCAAAGGAGGACATGAGAGTGGTGACTGCTAGTGACACATGAACTGCCTAAGAGGAGACTGCTGGTAGTCAGTTGACACTGTTTTTTTTCAAAGTGTTGGTTTTTGTCCTGTATTTGGAGAAATGCATAAGAAGAAGATACAGGTCACAAGTTTAGAGGAAACTCCCAATGGGAAGGGGCAGGGGGGAAAAGAAAAAAAAAACAACTATCACACAAAGAGAAAGCACAGGAGGAAAAAAGAAACAAACAAACAAACTTAAAAACAAAAACATAACTTGTACCATTGAGAGACCCATATCCAGAAATCTGTGTGTGTATGTGTGCATGTGTGTGTGTGTGTGTGTGTCTACGTGTGTGATGAGATTACAATGATCTTCTTGTCTTTTTTCCTTTGTTTCATTGCTCCTTACTGCTGTATTCACCATTTCTATCCAAAACTTCTTTGTATGGACAGTGAGGCAGGCTGGAAAGGGTGCAAGATTTGAAGTCAGTGAGTGGGAAATGTTCCTACAAAATCTGCTACCGGGGGCGGCTAGGTGGTGCAGTGGATAGAGCACTGGCCCTGAAATCAACCGGACCTGAGTTCAAATCTGGCCTCAGACCAAACACTTGATATTTACTAGCTGTGTGACCCTGGGCAAGTCACTTAACCCCAATAAAAAAAAATCTGCTACCAGTGTTACCATGAGTAAGTCATATGAGCTGTATAAGCCCATGTTTCCTCATGTAAAATCAGCCTGACAGTGCTTGCCCTGTTTCCTTCAAAAGGCTACTGCAAGGAAAGCATTTTGCTACCTTCAAATATTATGTAGTTGGTGTTGTGAATAGAGTGCTGGACCTTGAGTTGGAAAGACCTGAGTTCAAGTTCTGCCTCAGATACTTACTTGCTGTCTGACTCTGGGCAAGTCACTTAATCATTCTCAGCCTCAGTTTTCTCATCTACAAAACAAGGATAATAATAGCACTTACCTCCTAGAGTTGTTGTAAACATCAAAATGATTTAATATTGTAAGGTGTTTTCTAAACCTTAGAGGGCTATGTTAGGGTTATAGGATCATTGATGTAGAGCAGGAATTTAGGCACCATCTAGTCAAGTCCCTTCATTTTACAGATGAGATAACTGATCCATAGACATGTTACATGACTTGCTCAGGGTCGCTAAGTATCCAAGGCAGAATCTGAATTCATCTTCATAACTCTAAGTCCAATGTTCTGTCCTCTGTGTTGTGCTGTCTCAAAGAAATCAACCAACCAACCAAAACAGAACCCCTGTGTCTTCCAGAGTTAAGTGACTTGCCTGAGGTCACACAGCTATTAAATATCAGAGGAACAATTTGGCCTAAGATCTTCTTAACTCAAGGTCCAGAATTCTATCCACTGTATCAATTAAGTCTCTTCCCATTACCACCCCAAGTACCTCTATTCTTGGCGATTTGACTCCCATTTTACTGAGAAAATCTTTTTACCACTAACCCTAAACATCCTCTCTTTCCTCCTAGATCAGAACTGTCCCTCTTAAAAAACAGTTAATCTCATCACTTATATCTTTGATCCTCTTCCAATTTCTCTTGCATCCACCGACACTGTCACATCAGTTATAGCACGCTATTTATGAAATTTTCAATTTCTCCTTCTCCAGTGGCTTTTTTTATATGCCTTTAAATATACAAAGATCTCCCTGTTGTGAGCATTTTTACTTGGTACTGTGGTTCCATAAAGCTACTGTCTTATTTTGCTCTTTCCTTTCACTCCCAAATTTCTCTAAGAAATGTAAAGTCATCGTTTTCATTTCCTTGACATTAATGAGGAGGCAGTGTTACCTCCTAGATAGAGTGTTAGCCTTCCAGGCAGGGAGATCTGGATTCAAATACCATTTTGTTTGATATTGGTTAATTCACTTAACAGCCCAGAACCTTGAATTCCTCCTATGCAAAATGGAACTGGTAATACGTATGGCACCTATCTTTCAAGGTTCTTTGTGAGATGGAAATGAGATAACAAAGGCATTACATAAACATCTGTTATTATTTTTAAATCCCTAGAGTCTATTTCTACTCTTTCATCCTACTGAAAGTCATTAACCAATTCCTAATTATCATAATCCATTGCATCCATCTTAATTACTCTTGCTCTCTCTACAACATTTCTGCTCTTGATACCCCTGTCTTCTTAAAATTGTGTTTTTCCTTGGCTTCCTTGAAACTATATTGTCCTACTTCTGTTGCCATCCCTTTGACAACTTTTCAAATCCTTTCACTGTTTCTCCCCTTCTTTTCCATTCCTGAAATGAAATGTGGATAATTTCCCCCAGATCAGCTCTTAGTCCCTTTATTTTCTCACTCTACATTCACTTCCTGGGAGATTTCATTCCCTCTAGACTTCAACTATCACCTCTGAAGACCTCCAAATCTATACCTTCATTCCTGATCTTCCTGAACTCCATTTGCACATCTTTAACCATCATCCCAGCCATTTGTTGTAGATTCTGGTCACTCATTTATCATAAACTCAATATATCTTAAAATGAACTTATCCTGCCTGCCTAAACTTGATTTCCATCCTGACTTCTTTCTTTTTGTAATATCTCATTTTTAATAACACCTCATTTTCTTAGTCATCTAGATTCCAAATCTTATATTTATTTTTTATTCCTCACTCTCCTTAATTTTGAACTTCCCTAATTTTATTAAGGGCAGCACCATCCACTCACTCATCTGCTCTTAACATTTCATTCTCAACTCCTCCTTCTTCCTCACTCTCTATATCCAATCCCTTGCCAAGTCCAATCAGTTTTACCTTCATAACATCTTTGGTATCTACTACCTTCTTTACTCTGATACTGCCACATCTTTGGTGCAAGCTCTCATCACCTCACATTGGAATTATTGCAATTAACCTTCAGTTGGGTCTCCCAGTCTCAAATCTCTCCCTAATATGGTCCATCCTTCACTCACTCATTGAACCAAATTTCCTATGGAGAAGATTTTACCATGTTGCCCCCCTTTTGAATGAACTCCAGTGGCTTTCTATCTTCTCTAGGATCAAATATAAAATTCTGTGTTTGGCAATCAAAGCCTTTTACAATCTGGTCTCCTTCTATCTTTCCATTCTTCTTATACCTTACTCCAACCTAGTCTACTCCATGATGCAATAGCACTGGCCTCCTGGCTATTCCTTGAACCCAACACCTATCTCCCAGCTCCAGACATTTTCACTGGCTTAGCACCATCCTTGGATTTCTCTTCCTTCTTCTCACCACCTCCTGACTTCCTTGACTTCCTTCAGGTTCCAGCTAAAATCTCGCCTTCTAAAAGAAGCCTTTCCTAAACCCCTTTAATGTTACTGTCTTTCCTCTATTAATCTCCAATTTATCCTATAATTGCAGAGATACCTAGATTGGATAGTGTTCTGGGACTGGAATCAGAAAGACCTGACTTCAAATACAGTGTTAGACACTTACTAATTGTGTGACTTTGGGGAAATTACTTAATTTCTGTTTGCCTCCACTTACTCGTGTATAAAATGGGGATAATAATATCTACCTCAAAGAATTGCTATCAGGATCAAATAAGATAATATTTATAAAGTACTTAGCACAGTTTCTGGTACATAGGAAGCATTTAATAAAAGTTGGTTCCCTTTCCCAGATGTCTTATTTTGTTTCATCCTGCATTCCCATTAAATTGTGAATTCCTTGACAACAGAGATTGTCTTTTTTCTTCTTTATGTTAATATCTATTACTTAGCATATAGTAGGTGCCTAATAAATAATTATTGACTGATTGACTGACAATCAGGGACTAATTAATAATAATGTGATATGGTTGACTCTGGCCTTATTAACTGAGGGCTAGGCCCTTCATACTTTACTCTTCCCACAGGCTTCTCAGGTACCTTATAGGGAATGAATAGTCTCTCTTCTTTGTCACAGGCTTGAGCCCTCACCAGTCGTGTTCTTCCTATAACTAGTATTCCAACTGATTTAAACACTTACCATTTGATTAGCTTTTCTTACGGGCTATTTATTTTAAAGACACAGCAACAACAAGCAAACAACCTTGTGAAGTTTATATAATCATTACTTCCATTTTACAGATGAGGAAACCTAGAGGTCTAGGAACTTGCCCCATGGTCACACAGCTAGTGGGTGTCTAAAATAAGACTTGAACTCAAGTCCTCCAAACTCCAAATTCATGAATCAATCCACAATCCATCTGCCTGATTTTAAGGCTTCCTGCTTCTTTATTTACAATGTTTTGATGCCCTGTTTCTTTCTCTCTGTTTGAATTGCTATCATACTAATTCAGTCCCTTATCAACTTGCCTGTAGACTATTTCAATAGCCTCCAAACTGGTCTAATGATAGCTTCTCCTGCAGTCCATCCAGCACCTTGCCTTCAGGGCCACCTTCCTAAAACATTTTCAATATAGCACTCTTCTGCTTCCATCTCCTCTCCTATCCATACTCTAACCATTACCCTTCACAATGACTCAGTTCAAATTCTGCTTCCTCTAGGGAATGTTCCATGACCGCACTATCAGAAAGTGATTTTTTCCCTGAGCTCAGTTTCTCTTTCTGCTTATCCACATCACTGTTTCTCTTTCTTAGTATCACAGCATGTCAGGTCTACAAAGAGACCTTACAGACCATGGCCCTGGTTCAGCTTCTAAAGAGTGGATCTGGTGATATTAGTATTGTGCTGACTGCTTCAAGATCTATAAAGCAAGCCACCAAGCTTGACATTGGATTTCAGGTTCTAAAAGTTTGAGCCAAGAAGCATGCAGGAAGGAATGCTTTTTTTTTAAACCAATGGCTCAAAGCGGCTCTTTCCAATTAGGCAAAGAACATACACACTCATGTATGTATGTGTATATACATAAACATGCATGTATACATATATCCATATACATAAACCCCATATATTTTTTTCTATAATTAGAGACACTTTGAGCTATGAATAAAATATACACATACATGCACATACACAGATATGGGTGTGTGTGTGTGTGTGTGA